GTATTTAGAATGTGTGCCATCTTGGGGTAGGGAGAGGCGTGAGATGGGGAGAAAATTTGGAACTCAGTCTAGTGGAAGTGAATGTTGAAAACGAAAAATAAAAAAGATGTTTTCCAGAAAGGAAAAAAAAAGTATCCTCCAGTACTTTCAACTGATGGTTCTGAATATCCTTAGCTTACTAGTTGATCTCCTTTGAATATCCCTTATCCTTCCTCCCCAAAACTTAATGTAGTACTCTGGATGGTACCTACCCAAGGTAGAAGATTTGATGTCATATATTTAGAACTGGAAGGGGTAAAGGAGATCGTCATCTAATCCAACCCCTGATTTTATAGAAGACAAAGCTGAGGTTCTGAGTGGCTGACTTGCCCAAAATCTTATAGGTAGTAAGTAATAGAGTCAGAATTTGACCATGGGTCATCTGATGCCAAATTTGGCACTTTCCACTACACCACATTGTCTACCAACAGCAAGAATATGACTTCAGCTCTGTATTTGTTCTGAAGGTTGTACTTCATTAACATAGATTTTTGTTTTGTTTTGTTTTTGTATTTTCTCTACCATCTTATATTGCTGGCTTATATTGAACTTGTAACAAGTCCCCTTAGACAAGTTCACATTGAGCTTCTAATTTCCTCACCTGTAAAATAAGGAAGTGGAACTGTCTTGATGATTTCTTCCTGCTATGAGCCAGTGAAAAACTTTATGTCTTTTTCACATGAATAACTCTTCCATGATGAATGTTTGCAAGTGATATTTTTGAGTCCCAAGTGCTGCACCCTACATTTTTCCATGTCAGATTTATCTTGTCACCTTGGGGACTTCCATTCCAGCCTATGTGTCTCATTTGTCCTTTAGATCTATAAAGTTGGGACGACCATGTTTTCTTTACTTTGTATTTCACTCTCTTCACTGAAGTAGAATGCTATGAATATATTATATTAGGAATATGTTTTTGACATGCTTTGGATAATAATAGCTCATATTTATGTATCACTTGAGAGTTAGTAAAGCACTTTACATCTATTTAATCCTCACAACAAGTCTGTTGAGGTAGGTGGTATTATTAGACCTGGCAGATAAAGGTGATGGATCAGTCAGTCACTCAGCATTTATTAAGCTGTTACTCTGTGATAGCCACTATGGTAAGCACTGGGGATATAAAGAAAGACAAAAGGCAGTCCTTGCTATCTGGGAATAGAAATACATTCTATATATATAGAGTAGTATTAAAAGAGGAAGGCATTAGCAGCTGAAGAGGACCAGGACTTTCCTCCAGAAAGTAGAATTGAATTTGTGTTGAGTTTTGAAGGAAGCCAGGTAAAATGTGAGGTGGTGGTGAGGTGACACAGCATGGTAAACATAGGGGAAAGACATTGTGAAGGAATGGAGACTGGAGATGTAGTGTCCTGTTTGGGGAACTGCCAATAGGGCAGTATAGTTGGACCATGCAGTGAATTCATGAAAGGGTGTAGGGTATAGTAAAGGGCCTGTTTGTGAAGAGTTTTAAATGCAAAACAGGAATTTATATTTGATTCTGGAGATAGAGACACTAGAGTTCCTAGGGGGCGGGAGATGCTTTAAGCATAGGCAGCTAGGTGGTCTAATAGATAAAGAGTGCTGGACTCTTCCTGGGAGTCAGGAAGATCTGAGTTCAAATCTAGCCTCAGACATTTAATAGCTGTGTGACCCTAGGTAAATTATTTCATCTCTGTTTGCCTCAATTTCCTCATCTTTAAGATGAGGATAATAATAGCAGCTCTCTCCCAGGGTTGTTGTGAGAATCAAATGAGATAATAATTGTAAAGTGCTTACCACAGGGCCTGTCACATAGCAGTTGCTTAATAAATGCTGGTTTCCGTCCTTGTTTTAGAAAAATTACTTTGGTAGCTGAGTAGAGAATGGATCAAAGTTAAGAAAGACCAGTCAGGAGACTTTTGCAGTAGACCAAGTAAAAGCTGATGAGGACCTGAACAAGGGTTGTGTCTGTGTGAATGGAAAGGATGTATAAGAACTTTTGTCAAAATAGAAAGGACAAGATTCGGTAACAGATTGGCTGTATGGGGTGTGTGGAAGTGAAGAGTTAGGGATAATACTGATATTATGACCCCAGATGAGTCAGAGAACAGTGGTGCCCTGAATAGTTATAGGAAGGTAGGGGAAAGGGTCAAGGTTAGGGAGAGGGAGGAGAGAGGATAACGACTTCATTTTGGACACATTGAGTTTGAAATGCCTATAAGACATCTAGTTTGAGATGCCCAAGGTGCAGTTGGAGATGAATGGATTATAGCTCAGCAGAGAGACTTGGGCGGGGGGGGGGGGGGGGGGGGATCTCAGAGATAATAATTGAATCCATAGTAGCTGATGAGATCTAGATTTAAAAGAGAAGAAGGCCCAGGACAGAGCTTTAGGGGATATTGCAGAAAGAAAGCATGGTATGAATAAAGAACCAGCAAAGAAAACTAAAGAGTGATCAGACAGGGAAGAAGAGAACCAAAAGAGAACAATGTCATAGAAACCTAAAGAAAGTATACCCAGGACGAAAGAGTGATCAACTGTGTCAGAGATGGCAGAGAAGTCAAGGATGAAGATTGGAAAAAATGTCCTTAGTTTGGGAATTGAGATCATTGCTACGTGTGGAGAGGCAGTTTCCATTGATTGATGAGGTCAGAAGCCATAGGGTTTAGAAGATAGTGAGAGGAAAGTGGAGGCTCTGGTTGTAGATGGCTTTCTCGAGGAGTACCACGAAGAGAGGGAGAGATACAAGAAGATAGTTGGGGTGATGATCACATCAAGTAAAAATCAAGGATTTTTTTAAGGTTAAGGGAGACATAAATGTGTCAACAGAGAAAGGCAATTGAGTGAGATTGACAATAAGAGTAAGTGTGAATGATAGTTGTGTCTGCTGGAAAAGATAGGGTCAAAGATAGAGGGGTTTCTCTTGGCAAAAAAGAAGGGCCATCTTTTTTTCAGAGACAGGAGTGAAAGAGATGTTGAAGTAAGACGTCTAAGTAATTTAACAGGAAGGGAGAAGAGAGCTCTTGGCAAATGGCCTCAATGTTTTGGGTGAAGTTTAGGGGCAGAAGTTATGGTGGGAGACAATGTTTGAAATAGCTCCTGATGAAAGTAGAATAGTGAATCTTCCTAGAGTCCAGGTCTTACCATGTCAACCCTCTAATAAGTAAATTCCAGTGGATCCCTATCCAGGATACAATATAAAATCTGTCATTTATTCAAAGTCTTTCATAACTTGGTTTTCTCCTACCTTGTCAGTCTTACACTTTGCTTTTCTCCCCTCTCTTCCCTTCCCCTTTGAGATCCATTGACACTGGCCTCTTTGATATTCTTCACACAAGATACTCCCTTCCCTCACTCCAAGTATTTTCACTGGCTGTTCTATGTGTCTGGAATTCTCTCCCTTCTCATCTCTACCTTCTGGCTTCTCTGGCTTCCTTCAAGTCTCAGCTAAAATCCCACTTTATACAAGAAGACTTCCTTATTTGCCTTAATTCTAGTGCCTTCTTTCTTTCAGTTATCTCTTGTTTATCCTGTTATATATCTTGTTTGTACATAGTTTTCTTTACATGTTCTCTCCTCCATTGGACTTGAGAATAAGAACTGTCTTTTTCCTTTCTTTGTATTCCCAAAAGTTAGCATAGGGCTTAGTAGGTATTTATTTTGTTGACTTGACTTTGGCAAACTAATTCAGAGTAACAAAGCTTTTTTAAGTCCAGGGGGAGAAAAGGGCATGTTAACTTTGAAGAAAACAGTTTGAGCAAAGAATGACCTTTGCACTGATCTGTTTTAGAATTTTTTCAGGAACCAGAGTGAAGCTCACTGGCCTATCATTTGAAGACTAATGGATTTAACAAACTGAAGCTTGTCTAGTGACCACTGACATGAATGTGACCATGATGGGGAAAGTGGTGTCATTTGTGTGATCTTATTCATTATAATTCGGCATCTGGGCAGTAAGAACAAAGAAAGTGAATGATGAGTGTAATGAATTCTTGGGGTTTTGGCAGAGTGTGAGTGGTAACAGGAGTAAAGGCTTCAAAGGTTGATGAGAGGGGAATAAGTAAATAGTTAAATTGGTCATCCTTCGGGTAAAGATTGTACAGGGAAGTAATTGAGGCTAAAACAGACATGATGAACTAGCAGAACAGAGAGAGGTGGAGGGACTGAGGTTGCAGTGTAGACCAAGAATAGATTTAGGAATGAAGTAGAAGGAGAGGTAGAAGGACAAGAGGTTAGGAAGTAGCATTGGAGTAGCACTGGCCCTACCAGTTGGGTTGAGGTTAAGATAGGAAAAGTTGTTGAGGGCTCTGTTGTCCTCAGGAGGATAGCTAGGTTTTACTTCTGGAAGTGGTGGAAGAGATTAAGTCAGAAAGAAGACTTTAATGGTAGAGTTCTTAAAGGGTAGTTCTTCTGGGCAGTTGCCCAGAGCAGGCTAGGAACCAAGCAGGTGTCAGGCTGAACTGAATAGGGATGAGGGCATGGGAAAGAATTAGGAAGACAGGTCATATGCAGAGCACTGGTGCTATAAGATAAGAGGCATTGAGCCTGTGATAGTCAAAGTTCAGGGAGTACAGACGGGTTTGGCAAAGACTTTATTATATCACTTCCAAGGTTCTAATGATCTTCCTGGGTCTGGGGCATGTTCAGGTCAGGACCCAATTGGTAACAGATTTTTCTGCTCGAGTCCAACTTCTTTCTGTGTTCTGGTGATTTATAGGAGGGAAGATTTTTTTGCTAGTAGTGAAAAAAGGCAATATGTAAAACTTGTATCCAGGCTTATCTGATTATGTTGCTTAATTATTTCTTGATTGGTTAAAATAAAATATGAGAAACTTATTGGAAAGATAAATGTGCTTTTTTGAAGGTAGGTAAGGCAGAAACTTAATTTTAGTGCAATTTTAGTACCTACTGTAAAAGTCTTAACATACCTTTCTTCGCTTTAATAACATGTTAATCTTACATATTTTTTTCTTCATTTCTAGGGTTCTTATTGGGCAATAGACAACAATCCCAAGGAAGACACACTGCCTTCACGGCCAAAGAAGAGGGCGAGATCTGTAGAACGGGTAAAGCTTTTTGTCTTAGGCTTACTATGAATGTTTTCATGTAGATTAAAATATAATTTTTCAGTTTTCATGAATGTGAATTTATTGAAGGCAGAATAGTATTATAATTTGTAAAATGAAGGGATTTGGATCCTCTGTTTCCTTCTAACACTGAATTCTCTTATCCTAAATATTGTTCTTTTTCCTTTTGTGTAGCACTTCATATTTTTCAAATCAGTTCTTCATAGCCATCATTTCATTTGAGCCTCACAATTACCACATTAGGCAGTTAGGCAGAGATTATCCCTGTTTTGTATGTTAGGCAACTGAAACAGTTTGCTTAATATCAAGCTGTTTTTATATCAGCTGTTATATGTATCAATATATAGTTGGCATTAGTCATTGCTGCTAGTCAGGAAGGAATAAGACTAGTCCCTCCATCTCCTGATTTCTGATGTAATGAATGTTTTTACTTTTTATTGCTTCACCAATTTAAGACAATCGGTTTTGTATAATAAAGTTGTTTCCTTTTGTTTATCTTGTTACTGGAAATTCTCTGTAGTTAAATAGTCGCAATTACATAAGAAATCCTTTCTTCAGACCCTAGCCATGTTACTATCACATCGTATAACAAATTCCTAGCTGTTTGCTTTTATAAAACTTTTCATTTGCTGGTATGCTAGGAAAAGCAAGCTATATTTGAGATCTTTACAGTTGTTTTCTTTTACTCTTCAGTATTCCTTGCCCCCCATATATTTCCATCATCCCATCCAGAAATTTATTGCATTCCTCCCAAATAAGTGTACTGAGGTCTCTGATCTTGGAGAAGGAAAGTGTCAGGAATGAAGGTATTCTATTCTTCAAAAATGTCCTTGGTCTGAGGCTAGTCTACTAACAGAGCACTTCTTTTCACTTGGAAATTAATTGTCATTTATGGTAAGCTCCTTAAGATTTGAAAATAGTATTTTTCACCTTTGTCTTTCTGAAAATTATGAATTTGACAAACATAAATAATTATGTATTACAAAGAACACAAAAAAAGGATTTAAATGATACCATGAATCTCTGTTACTTACAGCTTGTTTTTCCTTAAGTGTATATTGAGCTTTTAATCTCCTTGGAAAGTCCTTGCAAGAATCAGGGTAGGGGAAGGACTAAGAAAATAAAAGTCCAGGAGAGATGTTTGACAGAGAGGAACAGATTTTGTTGACCATTCCTAATCAAAAAGTGCTCTGACCTAGAGCATCAGGACTTAACCTAAGTTTAGTAGGAAATGAAGTGGGGCCTGATGCCAGGTGAAGAGATAGCAGACGTAGAACCAGAAGGCATGCGTTCAAACCCTGGCTCTGCTATTTACTACTGTGCATCACCTTCGGCATGGCACTTTCACATCTCTGGTGTTGGGTTTCTTTGTTTGTAATAGGAGAAAACTGGATTAAGGGCTTTTTCTGATTGTAATATTCTTTGGTTCTGTGAATCAGAGCCCTGAAGTGTAACAGCTTTGAGGCAACAAACTCAACAGTTTCTGGTTTTACCATAGTTTTAGGAGGTTTAAGAAGTTAAAATCTGTGTCTTTCCTAGCTATATAGATCTAGTTAGCTTGTATTATCATTTTCACTTCTGCTCTGACAGTACCACCTGATTGGTTGATTATACTCAGGCCTGGCATGGTAAAGACCAATACATGCTCCAAATTTACAATTTAGTAGCTGAGACAGCAAATTTTGACCAGATTGTCCCAGAAATGCATCAGCCCTGAATACAAATATGCATTATTATTTTTTAAACCAATGTGTACAATTCTGAATTAGTTAAAAACTGTGAAATAGCATTTGTTATTTCATAATATTTTTAATTTATTACTGGGGCAGCTAGGTGGTTCAATAGATAAAATATTGCATCTGGAATCAGGAAGACATGAGTTCAGTTTCAACTTCAGATGCTTAGTGGTTGTGTAACCCTAGGCAAGTAACTTCACCTTTGTCTGCCTCAGTTTCTTGTTCTTTAAAGTGAGGATAATGGCACCTATCTCATGGAATTATTGTGAGAATAAAATGAGATGATATTTGTTAAGTGCTTTGCAAATCTGAAAGTGCTACATAAATGCTACCTATTATTATTTGAATATACATATAGAATTAGGTTTTGTAAATTCCAAATTGGATCATGGGTCATGGTAGGGGGAAAACTCAATCACATTCAAGACCCAAGGTATCATTGTGCTTCTTGCAAGTAATGTCCCTGTTGTGGGTCATTGTTTTTTCTACCTTTTCTTTCGCTCTTTTTCTCATTGTAGTTCTTAGAACTTTTCTTTTTTTCCAGTTCTTGCAGAAACTGATTGAAAACTTATATACCTCTTTGATCATGAGTTCTCTGTTTATTATGTTTTTAGCACAGTTTCTCTTTATATGATATCATGTACACATTTTCCGTGTGGGAGTATGTTACTAATTTACAATGGCAATCAGTAAGAAAACAGGAATCAGTATGCAAAATTTTACTTTCCACACTTTTCCGAGGTTTCTCCCTTTTTGTCTTTTGAAGAAAGGCTATATTTGGTTGCTATACTTTTAGCTTTCTTTCTCCCCCTGGAAAAAAAAAGGATTAAAAAAAGTAATAAATACTTTATTACCGTCAAAAAATTGAGGTAGGCGATAAAATTCTTTTCTCCCAAAGTAACTTATGAAGAGACTGTTTGTTAAAGAGCAGTTGTGATTTTTGTTAATGGAGGGAGTGCCTTCACTGATAGAATCATTGGTGCTTTAAGTATTAAAGTCATAAATAATGTAACTCATTGTATTTATTTGTTGTCTACCTTCTGGTTTTATCTACAAGTGCTCTCTAACCAATTTACATTTACTTGGCTCTCAGGTCAAACTTTCTAAAACCCAATTTTCTCCTTAATTTTTGTGTTATGTGTATACTTTTAAAAAAAATGCTCATAAGTTTTCATCTTTTTTTCCTTTGTTGTATTTTGCAAACAAGCTAGTACTCTGAATCTATCACTTTGGGGTTACATGTGTCTGCTTACCAAAGAGATTAAACTTTTGTTGGCTGCAATGCTTTCAGTGATCATTTAGGCCTTTTGTTATGTCAACTTGTTTTGCATTGGTTGAACTTTTCTAAGAAAATCATAATAGAGTTATTGCTTTCAGTTTTATCTGTTTTCCATCTATCAGAATCAATAGTTTGTGTAAACTGCTCTAATTGGAATTGTTGCAGTTGCTCAGAGAATCTTCTGATCTTTATCTTTTCTTCTGACTTTTCTAGTTTGCACTGGCCACCCAATGATTATCCATTTTTGACTCTGATAGCTGATCCTTTATAACCAGTTACTATTAGGATGTAGTCAGTTTTCATTTTGTAAAAATTTTATTTGTTGTTTTCATATCCAACATCTTCTGATTATCTTTTTGAAGAACATATTCACCACACTTTTCATTCCTTGATCCTTGATTTTATTTTCCAACGTAGTGTTAAAAAAAATCCTTATTCTGTGTTTTAAGTACAGATCTTCCAGAGGCAATTTTATTTATTAAATTATTCTAATTCTAAAGATCTCTCCTTTAAAAACCAAAGGAACAGATAGTCATCCTGCCTTTGAAAATCCCTCACCATAGCCATATCTACTCAGTTTGTAGTAACAATTTGTAGTAGTCCCAGTGTTACAAAGTTTAGTTAATAATTTTGATTCATCACTCAGAACAGTAGTCACAACTCTTGGTCTACCTCCACACCCTCTAAGGATTCTCATGTTCTCCTAGTCAGAGGTGAACTCCAGATAGTTCTATTACTTGAATTAATCTAAGACTAATTCCCAAGTTGATGAGGCAACTCCCTTCAGAATTTGGTGGCCTTTGATAAGAATAGCATAAAAAAATTTCTTGCAAAATATTGTTTTGGAATTGATTGTTAAAGAAAAACTGATAAGGGTTTCTCATTCAGATCTGACTAAAGACTCTGAAGTACTGTTCCAGTATTGTAATGTGTAGACGAAAGAGGGAACACAGGGAGATGGGTAGCAGTAATTTTTGCCATTTCCCCCCAGCTTACTTCCTGTTGAAGTTACTGAATTTTGAAAGATATATTGACTTCAATCAGAGACTTTCATCAAGTCCTCATAGAATTTTTCTATTTATCTTCCACAACTGATTTTGTCTTGTAAGATGCAGTTACCTTCATAGCGTTCATCCCTTTTATGTCCATTGTGAACTCTGCTAGGCATAGTCAAAAGTCCTCTCTATTTGGCATTCAAAGCCCTTCATAACCCATACCCTCCCACATGCCTTTCCAGTTTTCTTAAATCATACCTTTCCCATGTACTCTTCAATCCATTGACACTCAACTCCTTGCAGTTCCTCACATAGGACATTACATCTCTTGGCTCCAGGCATTTTCACTGGCTGTCCCCTTTGCCTGGAGTGTTCTCCCTCCTCATCTCTGCCTCTTGACTTCCTTGGGTTCCTTCATGTTCCAGCCAAAATCTCACCTTTTATAGGAAGCCTTTTCCAGTCTCCTTTAATTCTAATGCCTTCCCTTTGTTGATTATTTCTTATTTATCCTATATATAGCTTGTTTGTACATTGTTTTTTGCATGTTATCTACCCCACTAGATTGTGAGCTCTTTGAAGGCAAGGACTGTCTTTTGCCTTTTTCTGTATTCCAGGAGTTCAGCACAATGCTTGGTACATACTAGATGTTAATACATACTTACTGATTGATCCACCAAGTGTCCCCTGGAATTGTTCCTTGTTACTTTTGAGAGTGTAATGAAACCAGTTCCTTTTGTCTTCTCCAGAGAGAGCCTGTGCATCTGCTGATGTTTTTACAGGGATCTCTCTTTGCTCATTTGGCAGTGATAGTGGAACAATTCACCAGATTTGAACTCTTACCATCTCTGAACTTAAGGTACTCTACGAAGTAGCACTTAAGATGAAGTTACAAAGAATGGCTATACCTGATCAAGAATACATACAAGAAATCCACATTGGAGATAACAAAATTTTAACTCAGTAATTTGT